CCTGAGCCCCTTTGACTTGAAAAAGAAAATTTAATTTGATAATTAGCGTTCACATTCACCAACTTAACATGAAATATCACCAACACCAATTCAAATCCCAATCGATAGATTTTTTTTATAGGTTAGACTAATGAGAGTTCAAATGTTCAAATGTTCTATCAAAATCTTCTCGCCTCCTCCCAACTAATCCGTCTATTTAAAGGTAATCTTTTTGTTATTCACAAATTCATTCAAATTTTATTAAAAAAATTGAAAAAGTTGGGAACAAAGAAAAGAATTATTTCGTAGGCCCCACAGGCAAAAGCAAATGTTCCTAGGTCGGCACGCAAAATATGTGCAAAATGACAAGGATTGTCCACGTGAGCGCGGGCCCTACATTACCGGAGGAGGGTAATCTCGTCTTTTCCTATTCGCATGTCAGGAAATCTTTGTCCCGAAAAGAAATCTGCGGATATCGCAATGACAACATTTACTGTCTTCTGGTTCTTTCTCCTCTCTCCGCCAAACGGTCACCATCTAAGATTATGTTTTTTTTCTTCTTCCTCTTATATTTACTTTTAGATCAATTGTAAAGAAATTTGGTCGGTTTTAGTTTGATGATGCCTTTTTTCTGATGTTGATTAGACATTTTTTTCTGTAAAAGAATAATGATAAAATGTTGTAAGATTATATATGATGTTAAATATATTTATTTTAAATTATTAGTCGGTTTTTAAATAAAATCTAAATATAATTTTAAGAGCGGGAAAACTATAAGTTATATAAAAAGAAAGAATTTAGTCCAGAAGAGTTTTTTTTTTATTATATCATTCGGGAAATAGGAGCCGCTCTTAACTAATATGATAATATTGCCAATCACTCAACTATTCTATATAATCATACTTCAATTTCGATACTTACAAATCTTTCATTTTATTGCACTAAGCGACAATCATTCACTTGGATTTGGATTTTTTTCAAGTTAATCATATCCAAAATTACTACAAAATATAGAAAGAAAACTACGAAACTAGCTCTTGATTGGCGCGCGTACAACATTACAAGGATTCTTATTACACGAAAAAAAAAACACACGAATCATGGGTTGTGAGGGTTAGTAATCATAAAAATGGCCCAAAATGCAATATGTCGGTCCATTTGTGATTGCTAATAATCAATGTTGAAATGGCTTTGAGCCCATTTTGAGAACCCATTCTTGATGACCTCGGTTTGTAAATTCATGATCAAAATTGATCCAAACTAAAGTTTGGGCTAAACCGTTAATATTTTGAAAAGTTCCGCGTTCTAATAGCAATACTAAAAGGCCCCATCAAGGCCCGTATCTTTCTTATTGGGCCTTGTATGGGCCTTTTTGGTGCATCCATAAGTAATAATAAAAGCTAGGAATTATTGAATACGATGTCTGAAATATCCAAGGGATATGTTGTCGGTTGAAATTTTGTTTGGTTACTAGAGTCGTCTAAATTGACACTGTACAATATAATTTATGATATTAAATTATAAACTAATTTTTAAAATTTATTTTTAATTTAATTAAAAATATAGAAATAAAAAATAAAATAAAAAATAATTAACAAATCTATAAATTTATCAATTTAATTTAGTATATCAAATTTTAACTCTATCTCCGTATATTGAATTAAAAATGTAAACGTACAATTCAAATAAAAATATTGTTGTCAATACATTAAATAATAAAAATGAAATAACTGATAATTTTTATATAAAAATAATGAAAGAAAAAATATAAAACTTAAAAATAAATATTCAATATATGAATAAAATTAATATTTAGATATTGAATTATATAGAAAGAGAAAACGATTATTAAAAATAAATTAAAAGTTTATGATAGAATTTTTGAAATTTTATTTTTAAAATATCAAAAAATTTAAATATTAAAATGACAATAATACTCTATCTCTAATTATATGTAAAACAAAATAAAATGACCAAATATAATTTTTAAAAAATAAATATGGGACCCTTTTGAAGGTGGAGCCGTGTGCAAGATCTCCATTTGTACACTCCTTAAGACGGCTTTGGTTACTAACAATTTCGAGAGCTATAGAGACTATTTTACATGATTACAGATATTAGGGAAATAAATCCAAAAAATATTTCTAAATGCTAAGACACTCTTACCCTATGAAGTTTATCATAAGTAATAATAAAAGCTTATAATTTATAAATAGTTAATTAGAAAATCATATGTGTAGTTTGTCTGATCCGTGTCGAAAACAACATGCACCATATTATAATAAAATCTCTACAACGAAAAAGACAACAATGGGAAATCAAAAAGTTTTAATTGATTTCTTTCACATGCTTTTATGGAAGTCAGTCGTCAATGCATTTTACGACTCATTCACATGTATGATTCATATATATATATATATATATATATTGTACATGCCAAACACAATTACTCGGTTTCACCGTTTCAAAATATACTACTGATTATATATATATATATAATAAAGAAAATTCGAGAAAATTCTGTAATATTTAGATTTATCTTTATTTTTATATTTTATATATTTATATTGATCAAATAAGATATGTTGTGATTATGTTTTCTATTTATAAATATTATAATTATTTATATTGAATAATGAAAGAACAAGTGATTCTCAATCTTTCTCTATTATATATATATATATGCAGAAGTGTCACTAAGTGTATACATAACCTCTTTGGTTCTTTGATTTTTCTTTTACAACAACAGAATTGACTCTGTCAAAAAAGTTATGAAAGTACCGATCGAAGACCGGTTCCTCGTTGGCGTGTTGAAAAGGTTTTCTTCCATATTTATATTTTTTTTATCTTTTATTTTTACTTTTGTTCCAACCAATTGCATTTTTCACCTTGGGAAAAAAAGAAAATGTTTATGATTTTAAGTTCATATATTTATATGAAGAAGATTTTCTCTGCTATGAAGTCAAGTCAATTATACATGCTTTCCCATCTAGAAGTAGAAGATTATGATAACCAAAAGTCTTATTATTATATTTCCAAAATCACAATTAGACATTAAAAAAATCATATTTGGATAAAAGATTATAGTAATAATGAACGCTAGGCGGTGCATATATTATTATAATGCTAACAGTCTGCAAATTTTGTGAATGCAAATTATATTCGGATATCTTAGTACGTCTTACATTATTTTAGAGCTAATACACATTTAATTTAATAACCAGATGAAAATCAAGCGATATATATATATATATATATATATATATATATATGGTACGGTATCATCATATATACGTATAGCAGATCTTATAATGTGAAACACTACAATCATATGTGGTATCCTTTTTCCATTTCATTAAAGGGCGCTGGTTAATTTAATAAATGCAGTGGTGAAATTTCTTCGAGTTTGGCCACTTGTTATACCTACCACAACAGATCTGAATTTGTATAATGCAATGCATGCCCTTGTTGTTCACCTTCAATTTTCATTAATGTCACCTAATTTTATATATATGTAACGGCGATGATAATTGGCTTTTAGAAGGACGAAGGCATGAAGAGACAGAATGACTTTAGTTGGCCAAAGCGAAAGCGAAAAGAAAGGCCATCGCTTAACTTGCCCCACTTGAACCTTTCTTTTTCACGAGTTTTATGTTTTTCGGATGCTTTCACAATACAAGTAGCAACATATACACAAATGCACACACACACACACACACATATATATATATATATATATA